CTAAATATGCGAACCAGCAGCGAATCAGAAGCAATAAACGAATGGTGAATCATAACTCCTCCGAATTTTTATACCCAAAGGGTTATGGCTGAAGTTATTGTATTTAAGTAATGTTTTGTATATAATTTGAAGTTTGGATTTAAAGTGTATAAGACCAAATACAAGAATCAAGCGAAATAGATTTACTATAACCAGTCTTCTGATCCTGTCTTATCTCCAATTATTCTTTTAGCATTGTTTGTTGTTGCTTTAAATATACAAATGAAGACAGGGAAACTTTGTCACAAATTTTTGAAGAAACGAAATCCGATTTTCCGCTCTGATATTGACCTTTTCATACCCTCCACCATAGTTTGGATGATATATTAAGTTTATCATTCCGTTTGTAACATCTTGAAATATATATTTTGGACCCCATAGTATATATATTGCTGATCAGAATAAAATTCTATGTGGATTTAGCGATGTCCGTGCAAATGACTCTAGATTCCGATGGAAATAAAGTAGGTTGATAAAATTTTAATCAGAACTGTGTGAGGTTTGTAGGACTTTTGGTATTGAAAATGGAACACCTCTTAGTATAGCCCCCATACAACTGTACCTGCAGATTTTCCGTATTTTAATGATTTGGGTCACAATAATGGGCACTATAATAGAAAATTGCTCATGCAGGTCCACGGCTTCGCATAGCCCCCATATAACGGTACGTCCCAATATTCGGTATTTTGATGATTTTAGCTACATTCTCCACTAGACTTATTTCCTGTTTCGTACTTAAGTAGTGTCGTGGCCTATAAAAATATTGTCTATGCAGGTTCGCGTCTTTGTATAAGCTCCAATATAACGGCAACTCCCAATATTCGGCATTTTTATGATTTTACTAGTATTTTTCAATGGCCTTTTTTATACCCTCCGCCATAGTATGACGGAGGTATGCTATTCCGTTTGTAACACAACGAAATATACTTTTAAGACCCCACAAAGTACATATATTCTTGATCAGCACAAAATTCTATGTCGATTTAACGATGTCCGTTAGTCTATCTGTCCGTCTGTGGACATAACTCTAGCTTCCGAATGAATTGAAGTGGATTGATAAAATTTTTCTCAAATGTGTGTTTGGACTTGCAGGACTTTTGGTATTGAAAATGGGCTTTATATGTCCACGTTTAGATATAGCAACATATAACTGAACCTCCCTGTATTCAATTTCGTATTAAAAGTTCGTAATAACCTGTGACATAAAATTTTCTATGCAGGTCTACTCCTTCTTATGGCACCCATATATCGGTTCCTCCCTAAATTCGGAATTTTGATTATTCGTATTTGAACACTATTATGGCTATAACAAAAATTGTCCGTGCACACCCACGTTTTCGTATAGACCCCAATATAATATATTCTGCTTTCTTAAGTTTTTAATAGAATTGTTAACGGATTTTTATTTTGGAAAAGTTCCAACTTCGTTCCATTTACTGGAGAATATTCAAAGTTCGGCCCGGCTCCATATATATATTTCTACGCCACTCTGTGGTACAGGGTATTATGTCTTTGTGCATTTGTTTGTAACATGCATAAGGAAGCGAGATAGACCCATAGTTACTTTTGAGGATCATCATAGAATCTTTTTCTTAGCGAATTTATGGATATCAGTATCCCATTCCCATGTCATTCCCATTTCCCATTCATCATTTGTTTGGCCCAATTGGAGATAATCAGTCTAAATTTTGAAGTTTTTTCGTTTATTATGCGCCAAATATGTAGTTTTCATTAAAATATTATGTATTTCGGAACATTTGAACCGAATTTAGCCTAAAAACAAGTACTTCGAATCTGGTGTAAATCAATTCAAAATCAGTTCAAATGTAGCTTAGCTCCCATATATCTGTTTCATCCCATTACGGGATCTGTGCTGAATATATATAGAGGTGTGGGGTATTATATAGTTGGCCCCGTCCGACTTTTGACCTTTCCCTGCTGATTTTTTATGACCCCAACCATATGGCTATGGAGGGTATTTATCGGCCAAAAAGTGCCTCATCGAATTAACTTCTCTTTTAAACCGAATCCGATTCAGGACATTTGGAGTTGATCTTGGGGTGTCCGCCTGTCTGTCTGGCTGGTGCACACGATTACTCTCGAAGGGAGAATCCGATTTGATCCATATTTGGTATATCATAATATCATTGTTAAACTTAGATCGAGTTCGGAGATGGACAATATCGGTGCACTCATTCTGGTATCTTCCCCACAAAAGGTCAATATTTTCTCATAAAAAGAAAATGGGTCATTCGAATTTGTACAAACTTTGCAAATGCCAATATTTTTGTCAGTGCTATGTCTGGTATGAAAATAGACCAACTCCATCATGTACATCCCCCAAAAAGGGTCAACATTTTGAATAATTATAACTGTACTAAAATGCGAATTAAGCATCCGATTCTCTTCAAATTTCACATCCTAATATTTCTACTATCACAAGTTGTTATGCAAAGATGGAATATTTCGGAACACTCCATCAAGTACCTCCCCCACAAGGGGTCGAAATTTTGAATAACCATATAGCTCATAAAAAGTGATCGGGCTTAAAAGGAATCGGATGTTTATTTTAAGGATTTCTTCCATCACAAGATCGGGTGTATAAAGGGACTATATTGAAGTCACCTTCTGTTACCTTCCCCACAACGGCTCAAAATTTGGAATATTTATGATTCTTATCAAATATAAAATAAGAGATCGATTCTCTTCAAATTTCATACATTACAATATTTCATTAACACAACATCGGATATATCCCCATACTCCATCATGTACCTCCCCCATAAAATGTCACACTTTCTAATAATTTTAACTCTTATAAAATATGAAATAAGAGTTCGAGTTTCGCATATCTCAATATTTTTACCAACACAAGACCTGGTATGTAGAACGGATAGAATTGACCACTCCTTGTGGTGCCCTCTCAATATGGTTAACATTTATAACTCTCATAAGCATCCGATTTGCTTGAGGTTTCACATATTTTTATTAACACAAGATCTTGTGTTAAGATGACATATGTCCACCTACCCCTTCTGTTATCTTCCCCACAAAAGGCCACAATATTCTTTACTTATGTCTTTCACAACTTGCGAAACATGTCAGATGTTCTATTCAAACTTGGCTTATCTTAACATTTCTCTCGACCAGAGATTTGATGTAAATATGGTATCTATAAGCCCACAAATTGTCACCTTTGGTACGAATTATGGCCTTCAAACGGCCAAAGAAACCTTCACACGCTGCCTGAATGTTGCTCTGCGGTATTTTGACCCATTCCCGGCGAAGCGCTTGCTTGAGGGGATGGAAACTTTGGTATTTTTAGTGCTAATCTTGCTTTCCAAAATACTCCAGACACAATAGTCCATCGGATTTGTATCCAGAGATTATGGTGGCCTTTGTGCGCTAGAAATGAAGCGAGGAACCTCTTTTTATAACCATTCTTGGGTGGCGCGTGCTGAGTGCGATGGTGCTGAATTCTGTTGGAAGGTCTTCGGCCAAAATGTTTGCATGCCCAAGGCTTTAATACACCCTCCAGAATATTTGCGCGATAATATTCGGCATTTATTTTGATGCAACCGTCGATTAATGCGAGCGGAGAGCGACCATCGGCTGTTATAGCGGCCCACACCATCACCATGGCCGTCGCTTGAGTTCTGGTTGCTAACCGAAGGTGCACATTTTCAGCTGACCTCTTCGGCAAGTAAACACGATTATTTTGTTTGTTTACAAAATTATGGACATCGAATGTTTTCTCATCGGAAAAAAACCAAATTCGACACTTCACCACTTTCGGCAAAGCGAAGCAACTCTTTAGCTCTTTTGAGTCTATTTTCTTTCCGTTGCTGTGTAAGTTCTTGCACTTTCAATTTCAATGGCTTTATCCTGAGCTCATTTTTCAATATTTGTCGAATGGAATATTGCGATATGTTCAGCCCACGAGCCATTTTCCGGTCAAGTCGCTTCTTTACTTTTCGAACCATTTCTGCTGATGTTGCTGTTTTCTTTGGTCCATTTCCTTGACGTCGGGCTGCGCTATCAGTATCACGGTAACGAGCGATGGTACGAGACACAAAAAAAATTATGCTGGAGTGCTCTAACGATAGCCACTTGTGATTTTTCAGCCAAATATAAAGAAATCACACTATCACGCTAAATGCTTTTGTACGCTTGTAAAAACTTATAAAGAGCTGTCACTGGAATAATTTTAACAGCTGTCGTACGAGTAGCTTAGAAATGACAGCAGTCTGAAGTAGGTTTCAGTTTTTCCATCTTACCTTGTATATTCAAATAAACTAAGTTTGGCTGAGGGTGTATATCTGACGACAAAACAGACTGATACTATTTAACCTGTTTTTATGAAATTTCATATCCCTTTTTTTGGTTCCTAGAATTTTCAATTTCAGAGCTGTATCTAAATATCTAAATATTGCGAGACCAAGTGCTTAATACTCAAAACCTTTCGTCTTTGGTTAAGACTCAAACCATTTTGGGGTTTTACTCGACTGACTTTCATTCGGAATTCCCATTCCTTCAATTGGGTGTTTTACTATGGTGTTAGTTAAATAATCTCTCCTTCCTTTTCTTACCACTTAAGAGCAGATTATTTTTCCAAGAAAAGCATTTCTTACCATTTGAATTTCCAAAATAAAAGAAAAAAAGTTTCTTGCATGTTCAATAACCCATTTAGGATTCAATCAAGAACTATTCCACTAAACTGCTATGTCCGTTTGGCATGCGGTCAGTGGGAAGGTCGGAAGGTCGCTTGGTCGGTCGACGTTCTTTTTGTTCCGTCATTTATGGCCTTCAATTTGTGGTTTCTGCAATGGAAACCCGATTGTCATGATTTCTCTGGCTTTTGGTTAGTTGATTCTTGGTTCTTCTTTTTTTATTTCATCATTCATCCTTGCCCTGTGCAAACACCAGCCAACGTACCAATATTTGTTATTTGTTTGTTATTTATGTCCTTTATTCCTGTTACAGTATGTGTGTGTGTGTATCTGTCATTGTATTGTAAGCTAATCGCCTTTATTTTCAACATTTTTTTCTTTTTAGCCTGATTTGATGGCCCAGAAGAAACGTAAACGTCTCAGGTTACGTTTTGGCAAGTTCACAAATGTAAAGACCAACATGGCCATGGGTCGGACCACAACACTGGGTTTGGTCGAAGGCAACTCAACAAATACTGTCAACACAGTCGAAGTGGAGGACACTGAGTTCAGCAGCAGCAATGTGGATAGTAAAAGTCGTGCCGGCATTGAGGTGACCAATGCTGCAGGCAGCCACATCACCGCCGCCGCCGCTGCCTCCGCCACCCACATTCACAGCCATAGTCATGCTGTCGTAGCGACATCATCAGCGCCTGTAGCAGCTACTGCCAACACCAATACCAATTTAAATAATACCGAAGAGGTAAAGTATCCAATTACCATATAAGATGGACTAGCCATCCGACCATTCATCCGATGGAAATTTAACATCCGTGCGTGTGTGTGTGTTTGTAAGCGTGTGAAAGTATTTATGGGCTTCTTTAGAAAATCACACTTACAGATATACTCATTCACACACACACATGCGCGCGCTCTTTGCTTCTGCTACCGAAATACCATCAAATCCTATAAATATTGTATTCATTTAAATCCTCGCCAGGAGTGTGGCTGGGTTTTTGTGTGTGGAGCCGATTATTGGGTTCTGTTATTTCTATTTGTGCCATCGAACAGAGAATGGCTTCCTTTCATATCCATGGTGTTCGAATAATGGCAACAACAAGATTCAATTTGCCCATTCCATACCCTCTTTTTTTTCATTCTTTGCGTTCATCCTAATTGGCATAATGAGGGTTGTATTTATGCGCCTTTAACATGTCATGTACCGAATGGAATTCTATATGAGCATCAAATCGAAGGTATTTACCACCAAGGACCGCAAAGGACGAAATATGGCAATTGGGTGGCAACATCCAATTGTAATTTGTAAAGTTGAGAAGGTTAACGTTTGTTTTTCTCCTTTTCTTCAATATTGCTAATTGAATTTAAATATTTGAAGGAATGTCGGGTTTTCGAATCCTGTTAAATATTGGGGTATTATTGGATAACGGTGGAATATTTTTCCGTCTTGTTTGATGGCTAAGAATAAAATAAACTATTTAATGGATATTGTGGAATTCCCGGGAAAACGTAAAAATAACCCCCAATAATTTAATAAAAAATAGGATATTTTATAATAATCTCATCAAACTTGAAATATTTATTTATTTTAGTTAGTATCAGGGAAAGCTACCTTTCTAAAAAATTTCATATAAATTATGATTATCCCTGAGCAGTTAAAGTGAAAAACAAGTATAAAAGCAATAAGTTTGGCCGGGCCGAAATTTGAATCCACCACCATTTGGAACGAATTAGGACATTTTCAAAAAAATCCACTAAAAAATCTGTTAAAATCTTAAAAATACCTAATATCGGAATATCGATATATGGTGGATCTATATAGACAAATGTATGTCTAGGGGTAAAGTACTCACAAATAACTCTTCGTGTAGAATTTAAGACAATTCCATTTAAAAATGTGACTAAAATCGTCAAAATACCGATTACGAGGGTACCGTTATATGGGGGCTATACGATATCGTGGACCTATAAAGACAATTATCTTCCAAGGGATAAAGCACCCAAAAGGAACTCCTTGTGTGGGATTTCAGATAATTCTATTAAAAAATTTGGATAAAATCATCAAAATACCGAATATCGGGAGGTACCGTTAAATGGGGCTATACGATATCGTGGACCTATATAGACAATTCTTTCTCAGGGGGTAAAGTGTCACAAAGAACTCCTTGTGTGGATTTTCATACAATTCCATTGAAAATGTGGCTAAAATCATCAAAATAACGGATATCGGGGGTGCCGTTATATGGGGGCTATACGATATCGTCGACCAATATAGCCCATCTTCGCACTTGACCTGCCTGCAGACAAAAGAGAGATCTGTGCAAAATTTTAGTTTTCTATCTTAATCCGTTTTGACTTTAGCGTGATTACAACAGACGGACAGGGCTAACTTGTCTTAGAATTTTACGCTGATCAAGAATTATTTCGATGAGTTACAAACGGAATAATGAACTTAATATACCCTCCATACTATGTATGGTGGAGGGTATAAAAACAAGTAAAAATAGCATTAAGATCAACTAGGCCTTTTACACCCTACACAATGTAAAAAATTAAATAACGATAAAATCTGTCGTTCAAATTTTCTCTAAAATTTGGTGACAGTTACATGGTCGATGTTCAAATGCATGTTTGTTTTTGGGAGATAACATATCAACCCAAAACGAAAGGATTTTGTGATACACGATCGAACTTATCCAAGAAGCAAGTTTGTCGAATTTCGCTAAAATTGACTCTGACATAAGAACCGTAATATGCACTCCATAACAAAGATATTCTTTACAAGATATCAATAACTGCCTAGAAAACTCTTTTTCAGATTTAGAAGGGATGCTTAATATGCATAGTAGCGTATTATATCATAAAATTCGACCCTGCCCGACTTTTGCAGCCACCCTAGCTTTAAACAATCTATTCGACTCGTTCAGAGCTAAAGGGAACTGTGGACCATCTGATTGGGAGATTCCACTTTTCACAAAATTAAGAACTTCATCTACACCTTATGTTGGGATCAGGTTCACAACGTTCGTTCGGTAATTTAATGCAGCTTGCCAGAACCACTGTTCGTACCAAAAACTCCATAGCAAAGTTCGTCACTCTAGAGATATATGGCCACGTTGGTGCATGTTGACAGCGGCTTTTAAGCCTATACAGCCATCTTCCTCTTCTGCACAGTTCAACGTTTTTGTTTTTTCAGACACCTCGACCATAACAGATTGTTTGAGCAGACTGTTTTGTCCATTACTTAGAGATATTGAGAATGACCTTCCATGATTCTTGAAGCATTTTTAATGCGGGAAACTACATTCTTCTTTGGGGCATTGTACGATTTTGCTCTTTATGAAATTGGATCCACTTCGATGCACAAATACATACGACCCAAGTCTCAATAGAAATTATTAAATTTTACGATAGAAATTCAGATTCAGTGGCCTCAACCTTAGAGCTCTTTATGGTTGTCATCACTTTATGGTTGTCATCAATTGAGGGTCCAATGTAAAAATTTCAACCGCAGGCACAGTACAAAATGTTCCCATACAGTGAGACAAAGAAGTGTCGGTAGTGTCAAAAAATATTGCTTCAGCTGAGGCGTCGTTCAATGATAACGGAATATGCCAAAATGCAATTTTGTTCAGTTTGATAGAAATTTTTATATATTATTCAAGTTTTTCTTTTTTGGAAAAATAATAGGAAATTGATAACCATTATACAATGGACCCACATCCAATTTTTCTTTCCAAAACTATTTCAATGTCTCCATATGTAAATCCTAGAATCCAACTAACAGTAACCTCAATATCAAATTTCAGAATTTCAACTCCATCTCTGGTACGCATATCCAAAAGAATCTACATCTCACCAACAGTGATACAAAATAAGTAAAATTTAGCACCTTCCGAACAATTATAGTACGCATTTGCAAATCCACTACCAAATATTAACAGAGACCTCATTATTAAATTTCGGGATTTCAACTCTATACTTTCATGCAATACCAATATTAGTGAAATTTAGAGAAAATTTCGTTTAATTTTAGTACTTATTTGGAAAATCATTGCATATCTCAATACTAGACAACGGCGGTTAAGGCAACATAAAGTGTTCTGCTCTATCCCTTCACCTAAAACCAAATTTAGTACCATTTAGTGCTTTTCCAACAACTATAGTACTTATTTTCAACCTTCAAACCTCATATATCTAAATATCACATTCCAGAATTTTATCTCTATCCCTTCTAACAAAATCAAATTAAGTACCATTTAGTACTTTTCATACAATTATAATATATACTTCCAAAATCACATCCATATCTCAACCTCAAAAACAAACTGTGACATTAATATCAAATTTCAAGTTTTCAGCTCTTTAACCTTCTCCTATACCAAATTTAGTACCATTAGACAATTATAGTACGCATGGCTAAAACCAGCTCCTACTATCTACCACATACATCAATGGTGACATCCACATAAAATTTAGTTATTTTCGTACAATTATAGTACACATTTCTAATATCACCTCCATATCTCAAATTCAAATACCAACGGAGACCCTATCGCTCCACCCAATACCAAATTTAGTTTGGTACAAATATAGGACGAATTTCCGAACCACCGTCAAATCTAAAAACACAGTTACCGCCAGTAATCAAAATATACAATTTCTTAATTTGATCTTTTTCCCTTTACCCAATACCAAATATAGTACCATTCAGTACTTTTCGTACAATTATAGTACAAATTTCCGAATCCACACCCATATGACCCTGATACCAAATTTAAGATTTCGAGCAAAATTTCCACCCAACCGGAAATTGTAGCGAATATAGTGCTATTTAATAACTTTCGCGTCACAAATCTTCCACCAATCGAAATCCCAGTTTAATCCGTTTACCCTACACCAAACTGTTCCAAATTTAGTATCATTCTAAGATCACCTTCATATATCACACTTACTTTCCAACCTTAATTCCACATAAAACCAAACGGTACCATTTTAGAATTTTAGTGCAACTTTGGAATTTTTCATAAGCTTAAAGTTCGAATTTCCAAAAACCCTTTGGTACAACTATGCTGCACTCCATCAGAACTCTAGCTCATTCCGTTATCATTCAGTTATTTCCTGGACTTGGAGGATGTGAGGTTCCAACATGAAGGTGCCACAAACCAAATAACGTTTGCCACAATCACTTAACTTCAAACCAAATATGGTTAACATGTTATCTCACAACATGACCCAGTCAATTGACTGCCTCGGCCGTGCGATTTGACGCCCATAGATTATTTTCTGTAGGGCTACGTTATAGCCTATGCCAACAACCAAGCTTTAACGGTGTTAGACCCTAGGTCTCTTTGGACCAAATCCGTTTCAGGACATTTGGAGTCGATCTAGCGATGTCTGTCCGTCCTCATGTTTGGCTGGTGCGCACGATAACTCTCGAAGGAAGTATCCGATTTACTCCAAACTTGGTTCATCGTAATATAATTATTAAACTTAGACCCAATTCGGAAATAGTAATTATCGATCAACTCCTTCTGATACCTCCCCCACAAAAGGTCGAAATTTTCAAACAATATATTTACTGCACAGAAAGAGTAAGAATAATCCGATTTTAATCAAAATTTGCATCAATGCTAGGTCATGATCGTGTCCTCTCCATCGAGTACCCCGCAAAGCGTAAACATTTTGAATAATTTTAACTCTTATAAAATGTTATGTAAAAAACGGATGTCCTGCAAAATACAC